GAAATAATACAAAAATACTCGACGCATCAGTGGAAAATTTACAGTTAGTACTGCCTTGATTTAAAAAGTATTTTCCCGTTTCAAGCGATTTCTAAGACCAAGTAGATCCCGAGATATTGGTTTTTTGAGAAAATTGCGAGCCGAATTTTGCAAGTCAGTTCAACTCTCAATGAATATCAAAAATTAGAGTGCAGTAGCTGTCGATCGTCCATGAAATGCGACTTTTTTATCATTTTTCCGAAGTTTTGGAAGAAAGTTTAGATGTAACTAGATAATTAAATTCCTGAGACGACTGTAAAAAGGAAATTGACGGTTTCTTGACCTTAAAAACTTGAAATTATTGAAAAACCGGATGTGCGTGTAAACAACTGCAAAATTACCATTACATGTAATTTTGTTAAAGCCTGAAGTTCAATAATGTGGAGAAAAATAATTGGAAACCGTTATTTACATTATTTTCAGTTAGAATTCTACTAAAACAATTAGATTATTCGCTCTTGATTGCTATGAGGTGATAGTTGATTCGGCCTTTGGCCTCTTCAACTATCACCCCATAGAAATCTCGAGTGAATAATCTAATTGTTTTAGTAGAATTCTGACTGAAAATAATGCAAATAAGGGTTTCCAAGTATTTTTCTCCACATTATTGAACTTCAGGCTTTATGAGGCCTTTGGCCTCATCAACTATCACCTCATAGAAATCTCGAGCTCATAATCTAATTGTTAATAATTTTATCTTTAACAATTATCATACTGAGTGGATTACAAATATTCATGATCTAATCTGGTAATTTAACTGGCCAATTGAGTAATTCAAGGCTAATTTGAAATAATGACAAGGAAGACTTAATTATACTTGTACTGTACTGTCTGAATTGTGTACAATAATCATTATTGTAACACAAGGTCCAGTTACTAACTTGAAGAGTAATGTCAGGAACAACAATTTTGCAGGTGAGGTGGCCTCTACAGAACCTCTTTTAAGTGATAAATTTAGTGGCGCTAAATATCCCATCAACACTACATATTAGGGAAACGAAGGGATGAACCCCTAATTTAGGCCACTTTTGATATATTAAGTTTCTTTATACTCTAATCACCCTGAAACAATTACAAAAATATTTTGTAACTAATCTTAATAAACACAAACACAGCATTAGGAGCGGGCATCTCATTTATTGATGCAGGATACAGTGAGGGTTTACATCATCACCATAAAGAAATACAGCAGTGAAAAAACAATAAAGTAGAGTTGAAAGAGATGCCTTCGAGTGGCTCTTGCATAACTTACAAAATCTTAAATAGCTTAGTAGCCCCTTAGGATTCATCATACCTGCAAGCACACCTAAAGTACTTCTACAGTCAACATAAATCATACATAACGAACATACTCCCATGTCATTAGCAAAACGTTACAAAATATATAAGTTGGCTCCAAGGCTTAACGGAATAAGACACTAATGAATAATCACATCAAGGTCAAGGGATGAATAATCAATTTCTTTTGTTTTATTCCTCAAGCTCCATAGCCAGGTTAGAATTTTAATATATCGAAAATGGCCTATTGCCACATAAAATTAGCATTTTACTGTGTAATAAGATGAAAAATTTAAGCAAATCATAACAGACACTGCATGATTCCAATTCAATTACATGGCAAATAGATGTGAAGAACTCGCACAATCAGAAATGAGAATTGAGTTATTGCTATGATTCTCTTTCTCACAATCAATTTTTAAATAATAATAAATTTGAATAAACATCTTCCTTTTTCAGGTTTCCCCAGTACTGTGGCAAATTCTTGTGACATGGGTTTATCACTGTCATGCCTAGAAAATCAGCTGAGCCGTCTCCATGTTACGGCATTCTTTAACAGAAAAGGACATGCTCAGGAAACAAGTGACTATGTCTCATCTTCTGCTGTTCAAGCAGCTTTAGGCTCTGTGACAACCTTGTCGATTATTGCCTGGACAATTACACCTAGAGTGGTAACAGCAAGAGTCAAACTGACTCCACAGCAGTTAAAACTTTGGGCTAATCTTGATTCATCAGATTTCAAAGGGAGGGAGAACTTCAGTGGAACACATCTCAATGTAAGTCATTATGCTTACAGATATATAGTGGTCAGTTTTTTGATGGTCTGTCATGAACTCTCATAAGCCATGGTTCTTGACTGTTGCTAGTATACCAGACTTCTCTGGGGTATTGTAGAAAAAGGCAATTGGAAAGTTGTAAATCACACTTTTCATCTTCCGGAAATTTGTTAGGAATTGCCTAAAATATAATACCATGTATGTCAACTTATTAATAAAAGTCTAGGTACAGTCAAACCTCCTGTAAGCAGACACCCTTGGGACCAGAAAAAAGTAGACTGCAAGCAGTCTCTTTTCCTCAAAAAGGAGGGGAAGAACACAAAACATGTAAGCGTGCATGTGTGACTGTGAGCGTGACATGCAAGCGGCACCCACGCTACAAGCAGCTTGTGGCATCGCCGCTCACATGTCACGCTCGCACGCTTACTTGTTTTGCGTTCTTCCCCACAAATTTTCAAGGAAAAGAGAGACTGCTTGTAGTCTAGAAAAAAGTGTCTGCTTTGGGGCGTTAACAATGCAGCGCTTGTACATGTAAGTGGTTGGGACCATTACCAAGTGTCCACTTACAGTATGTGTCCAACTACAGGAGGTGTTCGTTAGTGAAGGTTCAACTGTGTTTGCAAAAAATGTTAACTTTGTAACTTTTTTTCTCACCTGAATTTAGTTAAGTATAAAATATGAAACAAACAGGTTAGAGTTTTCTGCAAGTACAAAGAACACATATAGCTGAATCGTTGTTAACTTATATGTTTTAATTATAGTTTTCTCATTAACATTTTATCGAGTGCTTCAGTCTCTGATTGAGCTAAAGCAAAAATATCAAAACTGAAGAATTTTGAGCAGAAATTTATTTTACTGTCAAAGCGAGTGAAGCGTATCCGAAGATTATATTAATGAATTGATTATTCAAATATTTAACCCACTAGTTGTTTCAAGAATGCAGTGATGAATTAAATTGATTATTCCAATATTGAACCTGCTAGTTGTTTAAAGAATAATCTTGAGAGCTAAGCTTCACGTGGTTTGACTGTAAAAACTCAATATGTTGCAAAGAATGTTTTATTTGGTTTGTGCCATCCTGGGCAGCAGTTTTTCAGTTTTTGATAGCACTTGAATCTCTTCCAATTTTTTATTTATATATAGTGGGAAACCTTGACCGCGCAGTCTTTTGCTTTTATGAGGCAAAATGTACACCGATGTCTGCAAACTGAGATAATTGACTAAATTAAGCTTATTTCCACCTCTAATCTTGAGATATCTTACCGTTTTCCAGGAATCTGCCACATGTTCATCTCAAGGTTCAGATTCTGTCCACATTCCCTTCTCATATACAGATTTACCAATCCAACCAACAATCGGTAAAGGAGATGCTGCTCATATCACACTCTCCACACGAAGTGACATGACACCAGTTCAAGGACGCTATGACATGTGCGAGCTCGTCAGACTTGAATTAACCAATCACAGTCACACGGAGTACATAGTAACGGAGGGTGTGGCACGTGACTATGGCAATGGCCAATGGACTGTCTATTTAAATGAGCCCATTTTTATTGATTCACTTTTCACAGGGTTTTATGGGTCTTGACCAAATTTAATCTGGAAACTTACTTCTTATTTAGAATAGTTAAACAAGTTTAAATATAAATTATACATACGTGCCTACTTTATTGGCTCATCCCCACGGGGCTTTTCAGAGTCCATGTTACATTACAAAATTTAAAAAACACAGAGAGCTAAACACATAACAATGATAACTTAAAAAAAGACAATTAAAAGGCTAGTTACAATGGAGTAAAAAACAAACATACAAAAAATAATATATTTAATAAAGAGCCATATGGATAATCCGTAAGAGAGTTCTTGACCCTATATAAAAGCAGATCACCATGCTAAATACTGACACAATATGAAAATGAGTGCGGTTGCATTGAGATCGAGATTAGAATTTGGAGCGTTGGTTTTTGTGGAGGGAGGAAAACCAGAGACCCCGCAGAAAAACTCTCGGAGAATGGACAAGAACCAACAACAAACTCAACCCACTTTATAATGCCGGGGCCAGGATTTGATCCCGGGCCTCAATGGTAGAAAGCAAGCACATTCACCAGTCTCACCACTGTGCTATCCTTGCTTTGCATTGCAAGTTTAAAAGCATTTTTATGCCTGTTACCACCTATATAAATTGTAATTTGCGGCAACATGTTGCCGGAACTTGCAAAAACACTTTCCAGAGTAACTCCATTAAAATTTTAATAAGCACGATAAGAAGCAACTTTGGGCAAAGTTTAACAAATTCTGTACATAGGGTCCAGAGCTACCTTAAATTTTCAAAACTTTAAGGTGGCTCAGAACGCTATGTACGGATATTTTTTAAACTTTGCCCAAAGTTGCGTCTTATCATGCTTATTAAAATTTAGTAAATAAATACAAAAAAAAGTTTCACCGTGCCGTTTTTGAATTATAACCCGCTAAAGCTGTATTTAAGGATGCATTTAGCAGGTCATACTGTTGCTATGGTAACCTATTGTGTCACGAAAATAATAACAACGTGTTAACCAATGATTGGGCAGTTTTTTTTTAAGACCATGATTGTAACAAGTGATAAAGGGTGGTTATAATGACCCATCAAAATCTAACTGCTGGAAACTGTTTTGAGCCACCTTAACAACAAGCCCATCCAAAAAAGACTAGAATTGTTAAGGTATCAGTAAGGAGAAAATTTGCCATTTTGCTTAACTTTACTTTTTTAAGCGGTTGGATAAATCTTAAGGTAATCTTTGAGATAAAAAAAAATTCAAGAAAAAAATATTATATCTGCCTCTAGTTATTGCGCGAGGAAGATTTTTTGCATATTAATTACTTAATTGAGAGTTGATAAGTTCTGTCAAATGAATTAATTATAGAGGCAAGAAGTCACATGACATCAAGACACGCGATTCGCGCGCCATAAGTAGTGCCGGATGTCTTGGAAGAAGAAAAAGCGATCTTGCCCGTTTTCATCGGCTAAAGGAATGCCAAAGAAGGCGAAAAACACTTTCGACAAAGTGTGGGCCGCTAAATTAGTGGAAAACGACAAAGGATCGTTTTACAATCAAGAAAAATTGCTGGATGAACTCGGCAACGATCGCGATCACGAAGCCAGCAAGCAAGCCGAAATGAGCGCAAGCCGCGCTAAAATACTGTTGCAANGGATGAACTCGACAACGATCGCGATCACGAAGCCAGCAAGCAAGCCGAAATGAGCGCAAGCCGCGCTAAAATACTGTTGCAAGAAACTGTCGAAGCAGAGGAGATTGACGAAGAGAAGTGAACGAAGGTGAAAGACAGATCGATTGTACAAAATTAGAATGAGCAGTGCAACATTTTTTTTTCTTACCCAGCCATTGTCATTTCTTCCAGCATCTTTGCCTTTGCATCAACATCAGTCGATGAAGTCCGGTTAACGACGTCCGCTCCAGCGTTTCCCTTTGTGCGCTTGCATTTTCTCGGGGGCCTTCTACGGGCCTTCCGCATGTTAACTGACATGGTCATGACTTTGAAGATTAGTCAACCGATACATAAAATTTCGAACGCTAATATAGTAAATCAAAAGATAATTTCACGTTTACTAACTTTGGAATTCTTACTTCACACATGAAAAAGCGGTTTATTCACTGGTGAATAATTTACAGCGCTCCGTCGCGGAAATTTGCACCTGTTACATGTTAACTATCACAGTCCTGTTGTTATACAGAAAGTTGATTCCTCTGCGGTGTCTCCCTTGCTGTAATAATCTCATAACACTTGAATGCCGCCGAATTTTATTTTTTCTCTGTTTCTCGAAAGTAAAAAAATAGGCGAGTTGTACGTGCATTTCGAGTTCCAGGTCTGCAGCCCCTGGACCAAATTGGCTGAAATTCGGAGAGAATGTTGTCAGAACGATCGCCGACAAAACCGTGTCTGCGAATTCTGATTGTTCTCTTCATTAAAAAGTTATACCTTTTTTTCGCGGGCAGTCCTATTTTTTTTCCCCTTTTTTAACTTTATCTTCTTGTAAAATAATAACAAACGCATGTGCCAAAAATCTGAGACACGGTTTTGAGGTCAATGTTTGAAGATACTGACGCCATGTTAATTGTTCTCTCCGACGTAAATTTAGCGGGCGTATACCTTGATTTATGGGTTCGTGAAGCTTTGTAAACATATTCACGTTTTCGAAACACGTTAAATTTTTACCGTTTTAAACAGGTCGGGTCATAATCTGTAGTTATCAAGCTTCCAATAAATATACGGTTTATATGGGTTTTTGTTGAAACCACGAACGCTAGAGCGGACCGCGCGCGGATGGTCAAATGGGTTATACTGATACCTTAAGGTCATCCCACTGAAATAGAACCTTCACTGAGATTTTTGTCAAACTTTGCCTATTGATTGTTTATATTATAGGAACTTAAATTTTGAAATAAAACAGGAGGGGTCCCCGTGTTTGTTAAGGAGCAACAGCACCTTGTTTATACCCAATAAATCCTTCCAATAACCCCATGATTATCGTCACGATTGCTTGCTAAATTCACGTTTCCGACGATTGTTTCTTGTTCTACACTGAGAATTGGTCCACATTTATTTTACATTGTGAAATTTATTACTCAAGTCAAAACAACAGAAAAAAATGATAGGTCATCGTACTCGTATTCGAGAAATTGACGATTTACCTCTATGGCGAGGTCCAGCCGTAAAGAAAAAGCCGCCAAATAAATTAACCGGTAGCCATAAAAAAGCCAAAATATTTAACAATAATTCCACGAGTGCGCGTTGGATAACCTTTATAGGCGGGACTTTAAATGTTACCACGAGCGTTGCGCGGATGTTTTCCGGACATTTCCGAAAATTTCCGATTGAACACGAACAGTTCCGAATACTTCCGGTGACGAAAGTAAACAGACAGCAAACAAGATGGCGGGCTATGCGCCACCGCCTGGTCCCTATATGGGTTTTCAGCCTAATGCTCAACCCATAGGGTTTGAAATGCACCAGCCAGGTTATCCACCACCAAATAACGGACCTGGTTACCCTGAGCCTCCTGCACATGATATTTATCGCCCGACCACGAACGATTACCCAAGCTACGCCAAACCCGCTACTCCATCGTACCATCACCACGGGGATGAAAACGCAGACAATCTTCCTCCTGTAGGCTTTGAAGGCATCTCCAACCATCAGGATCCAGAAACAGCTACGGCTTCGGGTGTCAGACTTCTTGAAAGTTCAAGGGAAGGCCCTGTTCCGCCAGTTTATACACAATCATTTAACAAAGATTCGCCCCGCGACGTAGAGGTTTGTTGCATTAATTGACAATTCTTTACATGTCTACTGGGTCACGTTCTCTTTGGAGAACATTGTCTGCTAACAAGTGGTTCTCCAAGTAGGTGCATGTCTTTTTTACGCAAAACAGTTATGCTTAAATATAATCAACTCTTTGATTTTCTACAGTAGAGAATCAAATTGTTTGAATGATTAATCTTTTAAATTTACATGCAAGTTAAGCATAATTGATCGTCAGTCGAATGGAACTTTCCTTGCTGAGATTTAGTTGAGATAGCTCTACTTCATAATGTGAAACGAAAGAAAAAAACACTCGTGCTGAAACAATTTTAGTCTTTATCTTGTTGCTTTGATAAGTAGGGACGACGTTGACAGTTGAGCTTACTATTTTCGTGAAAAACGCAATTGGCAGTCAGCACTGCACCCCCGTTCAAGACGGAATTTTTTGTCACGCTTTATTTTCACAGCTCCCTAAAATATATAACTTCGATGATCTTTTGTGTCGGCAAAATGCTATCAAAAAAAAAGAATAGGACAAACCAGATAAAGATAAACCGAAAAAGAAAGAAAGAAAACAAAGAAAACAAAGATGTGAAGTTGTGAGAGGAAGAGAAGAGCCTGACCTTGACCTGATAATTTCTATATTTACTTGAAAATATAAATTTGTGTAATTCCAGAAAATATCCTGGCTATCTCTCCAGTGAAGGGGTAGTTTTCATTTTACCTAATGTTCCAGTGGAGAAGGAATTCAAATGTGCAACGTTTTATGGTCTATGTGGTCACACATGTATTTTCAAGATACAATGTTTATTGCATGCATTTGGACATTATTAAATAAAAGTGCTTGGAACTAGTCATTTCTAAATGCATTTTACAGCTTAGTATATTGTAGATTGATCTAGTGGAAAATTTTCTTCTGTAGACTCCATATTACAAAGATCTCTGACTGCGCAATGATGTCACAAACTACTGTAGAGTAAACAATGTAGTGACCGTGCAATTTAAACTGAAAACTAGACATGTTGCATTTCAATCACTTGTAGACTTATACAAGTATCAGCCAAAAACCCAAGGACTAGTTGAATAGTTAAATTTGAACCCATTCAAGTTGTTTTTGAGCCAAGATTTTGGGGCAGTAGGGATGGCATGGTGGTTTGATTCCAGCCCGGTGCCGTGTGCAGGTTGAGTGTTTGTTGCTGGTTCTCGCCTTGCTCCAACCCAAGGTGGGGGGATGACCCACATGAAGAGGACAGGATGCTTGAGGTACCTTTTAGGGGTTAAAAATGCAGTTTTGATACCTCTTAGGGTGTTCAGCCTCAAAAGGTTCACAGCACAAGCTTTTATGGTACCTTTTAGGGTACTGAGCCGAAAAAATGTGACAGGAGGTAATGTTTTGTTCTGGAATTGGTACCTCTTAGGGGTGTGAAAAATTTCAAGCCACACACACAAAACAGAATCTTGGTCCTCTTTGGGGTTTTTATCAAAATTCCTGATGAGCATCCCTGTCCTTTTTATATGGGATTACCCCCCTTCCTGGGTTCCAAGAGTTTTTCTCCAGGTTTTCTCCAGGAAGATTTCACCAAAGGAAATTCAAGAAAATTACAAACAAAGCCATAAAAACAGTAAAAATTACATTTGTTTGGGCATTTATAATTCAAGACTAAAGCCCAAAATTTTAACAGAGATGATAGCAAAACACTGTTTAATCATTGGTTATTACATGTAGTAAGTTCGAGAGGATTGGCTTTGGAAGCGAATGCAAAAACAGCATTCAAAAGATAACACTTGTGCGTACAAAGATTAACCCTATGGAGCCACCTTAATTGGAGAAAGTTCATCATAAGGAATACATGTACATGTACCTGACTTTCAGATTGTTGCTCTGTCTTAAATATACAAGTACATGGTACAAGACTGTTAGCTCTGTCCCAGTAAATGTTTTTAATATGGACACCAAAGGGGCACAGCTGAGTTTTGCAGATGTTCCTGAAAGGATTTTCTGACATATGAGATATCTTCAGAAAACAACATTTCGTAATTTTACATGAAATTTGATATTGACTTTTTTCATTGCAAAATGATAAATGTTTACTGGTTTCCATGCTAAATTAAATGGATAGTAGTCAAGACTGCGGTAGTTCAGTAGTACATGTACAATTCTTTTTTTACTAACAACTTTTAGCCCTGTCTCAAAACCCATATGGCAGATGGCTTGGTGATGCTCACACCAGGCTACAACAAATTTAAAAAAAGATTCCCTTCAACAACTGAAACAGGTTTTGCTTTCAGTTCCTGCCACCAGAAGTTTAAGCAAAAATGTTGGGTTGCTTCATTTGATTTGTTTCTTTGTCAACAGAGATAGCACTTTCTAAATGTTCTTTCTGCAATCAGTCTGTTCCATTTTGTTTTGCACTCTGGACATACTTAGGAGATATCGGCTGATGTTATTTATCAGATATCATCTTAATTAAATGTATGTCTATTCATGATTTCATGGATAGTTATTTATCAGTTGGTCAATTTATTTATCTAGAACAGAATGTTACCGAACTGTAAATTTATGAAGTTTGATCTGAAAACTGACTTAATATGCTTTTTTAAAACTATTTATAGATCACTTGATTAACATTTCTAAGCATCATTAATGTGTTGTTTATGCATTTATAAGAGTTCCTATTGGTTGCTTTAATTATCTTTAAGTTAGAATTTGCATCTGTAAGGTGTTCTACAATAGTTATAAGCTGAACTTTTGTGTGTGCATTGTAGGAGCTGATGAAACTTGTTTTTTGAACAGGAAACCTTTTTCTTGTTAATTCAAATTGCTATAAACATAGTCACCTCTTTCAGTAACATACCAAGTGCATTATAAAGTGCAGACTATTTGTTGAGGTTTTACTTGAAATGAAAAAAAAATATATACATATATCAAATGTATTGCTAAGCGGAAATGCATTATGAGAACCAGATGGGGAAAAGCAAGAAATTTACCTTGCCAAGAGCTGTAAGAGCAAAAGGAAGAAATACATACTACAGTGTAGTGTTTCTTTAATTAAATGTTCTTTTTGTTGGGATTCAATGTCAATGTTTTTGTGTAGAATGTGCTTCTATTGTTAGGAAGGTTTGAGACCTTTCTGTAGGCCAGCTTCTCTGTTTACATGTAAGTTTTGCTTGGTTTAGAACACCTTTGGTAAACCAGCATGTACTTTGCATGTACATGTGAACTGTAGTTGTAGCGTTGTAGTTTTTCTTTCAAATTGTCTTTTCATCTTACATGTAGTTTGTTTGAAACAAAAAGGAAGCGGTCTTAAGTTTTCTATTTGTTTGATTCGGTAGACATTGTTTACAAAATATAGATCTACGCAGATGTAAGTGAACACTTGCAGCTACATTTATTAAGTCAGTCTGTCTAGCTATACCGAGAAAAGCAGCATTAACAGGTAATCAGAGTCAGTTAAGATATGTGTATTTCACGCTTGTTTCTTCCTTTTTTCAGAAAGGAAAATGTTGTGATACACTTTTCTTCAAAGATGGGAAGAGACGAATTGGTAAGTGGTCTACGTGCACACATGTACAGCTGTACATTGCATGTGTCCTTCTTAAGAATGACACTTATTGTGTATAAAATTTTCAAATTTTGGAAGTGTTCGGTATGTATTTGTTTCTTTTTCTATGCACTGTTATGAACATTTTTGCTACTCCTAATTAATATGTAATTTCAATTGAGGATTTTAGCATTTGAACTGTTAGTAAGTAGTTTTGCAGGTAAACTGCAAATTCACACAAAATACTGTGCTAGTAACAAATTAGTTAATACATTATATGATATTTAATTATATTTAATGGACCAAACAGAGAGGCCATGGTCTCCAGTTGAAGCCCATAGGAAAATTACTTTCAATTGTCTTTTCATAATATTGCAATGCAGTGTTTCAGCCAGAAAATTTTACTTGAGGGCCAAAGTGGCTCCTGTAGCTCTTTTTTAGGGACCTGTTTTTTAGGAAAGGGGCCAATAAATTGAAAGCTACAGAAGGAAAAAATGCATCAGGGTACTGTACTAAGGAAAATAAAGCACTTCATTAGGATCTATGATAAAATTTAATAGTAAGTGATTTTTGAGTGTTTCTACTCAATAAAGTTTCTTTTGAATCAGATACTACTAGTATAAAGGATCCGTGCATTATAAGAGAACAATCCTTAGGCATACATGATGTAGTCAATGATCAAGGGTTTGCAATGCATTATAGGGCGATTTCAAACACGGTCAGCCATTTGGAAATTTTTAGTCGCCAAGGACGAAATGTTAGTTGCATTGGTGACCGTATTGATCACAATTTCAAGCCCTGGTATGGCTTTTAAAATATTATGCCTGTGTTAAGCCTGCAGTCCTGTAAAAGGAGAGGGCCAAATTGGCCCTTTTTTCGTTTTTCTGGTGGCCATCTCTGATTGTAATGCAGGATTCCTGCAATGGCACGCTCTGGCAGAAACACTGCAATGTATGGGTTTTACCAGTTTGTTGCAGTGGGACTTCTCCAATCAACGTCGCACAACAAAATTTTCTACAAATTTTAATGTCTTAATAAAAATCGTGAAAGTTAACAATAGTTTTCCAACACATTATCCTCATACATGTTTTCAAACTATCATCACAAAGGCAACAGATTGTGGCCATTTTGATTATTTTATAATGCTTATTAAATGCCAGTGGTCAATTTGCAAAGAATTTGTAGTAGTCACACTGTACATGTAAGTCCTTTGCATGTATCTGTAATCCATTTACATACATGTGTATGAATTAATGTGTATTCGTGGAAATTATATGTTGTCACATGTATGTGTGACAGTATAAAATTAATGTCGTTGTTCCTAGCGAAAGTAAGTTAACTGTGGCGACTTGCAATTGAATCAGAGCTATTAATCAAATAAAAACAACTCGTGATGGTGTTACTTGGAGAACACTGCCTTGCGTTTGGTTAGCCCATGCGACTTCCGGTGATAGCGTGACAAAACAACCTCACTTATCTCCTCAGCACTATGAGCTGAATGACAGACAGCACGTGCTGGATCCGACAAGAGTTTCGGTTAGCAAGTGATTTTCAAAGGTGATGAAAAAACAACAAGCTTGGGGGGAAGTCACTGCGCAGACTTAACCGCACCACACAGGAGTGACCCTTTGTTTATTATGCAGGAATACATGACCAACCTCATCTCCAAAGGGAGAGAGGGAGAGAAAATTAAAAGATAGATTAACAATAAGTAATAGCTACGTTGCTTAGATGAACTCAAAATGGACTCTGAACAGTTGTCTGAGCTTTTATATGGAGACGTTTGTCTGCTGGTAAGCCAGTAGAAAAGGTTTTACTACCGAGCAGCTTACCCTAGCATGTGTAACATCTTAAACATGAATAGTGCTTTAATGCTTTGTACCAGTGCTATTGTTCATTATAACGTTCTGAAGGTAACAAAGCTACAATGTTTTAGGTTTAGCTACAATAAAGCTTACAGTTTTGCTGACCTTTGGAATACAACTGCTCAGTAGCTCTATACAAAGTGATGCTGCCATGAACGGCTCATTGAGAATGTATGTCATGCTCCATTAACTATATTTTACTGGTGTGACAGTAAAATCTCATTTTATGGTTTTAAATCAATCGCATTACACTAAATGTAGGTGCTTGTATAGCAGTGCCCTTTTAGCAGCATAGATCTAATTTTGATACAGAATTTGTCTTTAATTAAAAATAATTATTAATTGTGATATTAGATCACATGACCGAAAGCAGTCTCTGAATGCTATTTTAAAATGTGCTTTATCAATTTATCATTGATTATTTTGAATTCCTTTAATTTCTAGATTACATTCTGGCATATGAAATTGACACTACTAAAGACAGAGAGTGGCAGCAGAAGCGGGAAGAAAAACGAATAGCATTTGAGGCAAATTTGGAAAGAGAAAATTTAGAATTGGAAGCTGAAGGCATTGAGGTATGTAATTATCAGATTAAAGCTGCATGTACATGTACAGTATTATCTCAAGCATCTTCATCTAGACGCAGCTATACATAAATATTAAGCATTAAATTAAATATTAATTATATTGAACTACATGCAGTGGTAAAAAACCGCTTGCAAGCTTTTAGTGATACCTGTAGCATACATGATAATTTTTTTTTTCTTTTAATTTGTATCTTTAGAGATTTCTATTCTTGCATTATTGTTTCTGATTTTTTTTATGCAACCAAGCTATTGAGTCATGGAAATTGCTACAATGTGTACAATGGCTTCTGATAGGTGGGATTTTCAAAGAGAAATTTGTGGAAGAAACAGTGATTTTTTGGGAAATTTGCTGACATTTTTGGGCAAATTTCACTGAAAAACAATTGGCCAAATTTTGCTGGAAAGTGATAGGTTTTGCAACAGAAGTTGATTTGACGAACTTTGACCAATTTGGTGTACATGATTTCTAGTGAATTTCTCGGTATTTTGCATGTTTTTGTGAATTTCGCAGATTTTGCGGATTTGCCTGAAATTTGAGGCTCTGCAACCGTGCGAAATATCAGAAGCCCTATTGTTGCAAATTTTGTGTCATGATAAATTTACTTTGAAGCAGGGCTTGAGACTAACAGCAGGATTTATTCTCCATAAGCACCTGTGGATGATCACTATCCAGACAGTTCACTGTAGTTCTGATAGCTTTTATACATGTACGTAGATTCTGAAGTATTGGTGTTACAATGGTTTGAGAGTTTGGTGACTTCCTTTTGTACATTCTCCCATTGATTGTTTGTTGGCAATCCTATGGTTCTAAAGAACAGTATTGTATTCAAGAATATATTCATGAATCTAGATACATGTATATTATACATGTACATATGTTGATTTTAAAAAATGTGGTTTTTTGAATGACAGACTTCCAGTAATGGAAAGACAGCTTTTATCAAGATTCATGCACCTTGGAGAGTTCTCACCCGCGGTGCAGAGGAGATGCTCATGAAGATGCCAATCAAGGTATGTGTTATTGTATAGTTAACAGTACGTTTTCCTTTGCATTTCCAATATATTATATATGATTGTAAATCTAAACTGAATTAATTGTCACAAAGTACTTCTTTTAAAATTTTGTTCTGTAATGCAACCCAAGTTATGGATCTAGACAGGTGACTGTACGTGCAAAGTTCTGCATTGAACATTTTGTAGTCCCACGATTTGTAACGCTATGATGTACTTATTAACAAGCTACTGTTCATGTATACATGTACGGGTGTATGTACACGTTTACCAGTACATGTAGGTGATGTACATAATTTTAATGGAAGTCAGGAAAAGACTCTCAAAAGAACATTTTGCTTATCTGAAATTTACCAAGACAACAAGGTGCTGAAGATTTTAATTTTAAAACAGTAATGAGAAATAGATTCCATGTTGCCATGCATTTGTTTTTAACAGTATTAGACTAGTTATGTAATAGATCTCAGATTGTATCAAAATATGGTAAGAACATCAGTGATGCACGCACTTGCCTGAGAGCTTAAGCGCCACTTTTTTGTTCTTACCACATTTTGATGTTATCTGTGATCTATATTACTGAACATACACACCTGTAGAAATGTGGAATCTACCTGGTGTCTGGTGTACAATCGTGTAATAAAGAAGCAAAAAATAGCTAATGATGTCAGCTGTGCATCTGTCCTTCACTTGGTCATGAGTACAAGTAAGAACCAAGTACGTATTGGTGTCTCTTAGGAATTCTTATTTCAACTGATATTTTTTTCCCACCATTATTATTCCTTTTGACATTATAATATTATGACTTTTAAGTGAACATCAAAGTACAGAGTCATTTGATACATTTTTTAAGCAAAATGATTTAATTCTGTTCATTACATTTTACTGCTGGCAGTGTTTTATAATGAAGTCATTAATTCAAACAAATCCTTCCTTATACATGAGTTACAACTATCCAATTAAAGGTCAAATGAACCAAAATTTAGAAATTTTTTCATTTGACTTCAATGTGTTCATTAAGTATAAAATAAACATATTCTGAAGTTTCAAACGAATTGGATGAGGCATTGTGGAGATATTGGAATGTTAAAATCACTGTTTTTTTATCCTTCATAATCGTAGAGCGGTCAAGAAAATTGTCAGATACATGTAATTGTTGGAAATAAAACTTGTGACCTCACTGTTGGTGAGCTCAAGAAATGCGGGAAATTTGAAACTGTTTTGGTTTTGATTTCACAATGAACTTCAGAAGAGAACCACTCAAAATCAAAAGTTAGCACTTTCAAGTTCCCCCTGGACCCAAAACTTAAAAGAGAATGGCTTATAAAAATGAAAAGAGAATGCTTCATGCCCTCAAAGCATTCGCACATTTGTGTGAAGCACTTCACCAAAGACAGCTTCAAACAAAATCTTGTAGTAAGGAGTTTGTTGGGACCCTCTTTCAAGCTTCGTCAACTTGTAGTCAAGAAAGACGTGGTACCAATGATTTTTAACTTCACTATGGAACGTTACAAGCTGGCAATTGGACAAAAAACAGTGAAAAAGAAGCAAATAAATGTTTATGTCCACTGAACAGCGGGCGAACTGCTTGGCCTTTTCCCAAGTAAAATAAGGTTTGTATTTAGATCCAAAAGCTTCCCCATGAAAGACTCACTGACGCAGAAACGCAGCTATGTTCAAGACAACAATGACGTCACAAAGCAGAGTCTCACTTCCATTCCTTCCAAAAGTGCGCGGTCATTTTGGAAACATTTTTGTGAAGCCATCGGCTGTCTTTGTACTTTTAACCTTTTTACTCCTTTTCACAGCTCAGGAAGAAAGATTTCCACATAAGTTTCCTTTTACATGTCTTTTTTTAACATTTCGTCACTATGAAATGGCTGAAGAAAAGATGTCTAAATTTTGGTTCATTTGACCTTTAAGAGACAGATAATTACCTAGATGGACTGTTAGGCTATAGGCTGTTGGCTGATGTCTGCTTAGAAAAGATCTTGTATACTTAAAAGAATTGTGTTTTTGTAGGAAAATGACTTGGACACTAGGGATTGGACAGAAAGATGTTTTGACACCATTGGAATTCGCAATCCATTTGAACTCCGAGTTGAGGATCTTCCAGAACAGCCAAACTACTTTACCTGTGCCTTTAGAAGAGATAAACTGGACAAGTAAGTTTTTGTAGACATGTCTTCATGAAATGTGTACGACTTTTCAAGGCAGCTTATTGAAGACTAGCAGATAAGTTGTTTATTTAAAGTTCAAAGTCGGTGTTAATGGCATTTAAAAACCTTGCAGACATGTCTTCATGAAATGTGTATGACTTTTCGTACAAAAAGAAAGTTGTAAATTGGCTGGGTGTTGCATACCCTCTTCTTTTCAACCAAAACCAATGCTGCTTTCTGCTGAATAAATCAAAGGAGAAATGAGTTTAACTTCTCTGGCCTAGATTTCTGTGCACAAACTATGTAATATAAACCCAACTAAAGTGTTTACATTGGAAAAGAGTTCAACTCCCACAGGGTTGCTTTGGTACACCATCATGTCCTCCGTTTCATTGTTTCGGAAGTGAAAATGCCCTGTAGCTGTTACCCCAAAGCCAAGGTGATTCAAAGTCATGTTTGTAAACAAAACAATTGTCCTAGTTTTGGTACTAAAAGCATGTCGTCCCACATACCGAGGAAACAAACATGGTTGATGTTGATTTACACGGTCAGAATAAAACATGCACTGGGGACTGCGGATTGCGGACTGCAGACCACAGATTATGAACTGGGTATAAAATACAGACTTTCTAGTAACACTACTACTTACTAGTAGTAATCATAGCTCAGGTATAAAATGGGGATTGGGGACTAAATGTGGCCTCCCAACTGCAGTCCATGTTTTTTACTGACCAGTCATAACTGGTATTACACAATACATGTGTAAACGAGAACAAACCCTCTCGTATGGATGTGCTTTGTGATCAATTCATTTGTTTTTGCCTGTGCTGAAGGGAGACCAATTTCATGTCGACCTAACAGCTCAGGGATAAAATGCTGTCCCTAGAATTTTTGTTTCTTTTTTTTTAACATACCAAGCCTGCTTTGCGATCAATTTATTTGTTGTCGCCCCTGCTGAAGGGAAACCAATTTCACGCCTACCTAACAGTGCAGGCACAAAATGCTGTCCCTAGAATTTTTGTTTTTTCAACATACCAGGCTTACCAAAACTCGAACGCACTCTTAATCTACAATTACCACTATATGTAGTTTGTTTATTATAATTATGAAAAGTTTTGCCAATATTCCGTCATTCTGTTGAGTCACAAAAAGAGTAGAATTTTGGGGGAATAAGCAATGCTGTGGGAACATGAGCTACAAGCAGTTGTTTTCACAACTTTGAGATATTTCAAGCTTTCCAATGTGTTTCTATTGATAACTCATTAAAAAAACAGAGAAAATGTGATGGTGAATGGGAAAACATGCCTTAACACTTATCTGTTAAATGGTTGCGAACGGACGGATAGCTAATGGATAGTCAACGGCCTTAACAGTAATCTAACGTTTTGTCCTAACATTCTAAGGGTTTACATCTACGGACATTTAACGGTTGTCTAATGGTTTACATCTAACGACTTTTAATGAACGAATAGCATAGCTTTCAGTCTGATGTTACAGTAAAACACATAATCATGGAAAGTCCGTGATATATTGTGTACGTAATTGCTGCAATCTTGGTTACGCTTATTGGGTATAGTTTGTTAACATTTAACGGGAAAAAAACTAGAGATTAAGGACGAAGCAAGACTTTTCTGGGAAGCTTTATCAAAACAAAACATCAAAGCCTGACTAGCCTTGCTTGCATGTGACTCGATCGTCCTGGGCGCCAGCCGAGCGGTCCGCCATATTTGGATTCGGTGTATGCTCGATCACAATTGATCATTTTTTGGTTATTGCAATCAGGAGCTCTGCTTTTAGGCTTGGCTAAATCTATATATTAATGATATACAGTAGTTACTGTACCGTATTACATGAAATTTTCGCAACACGTTCATTTTCGCGACACTCAAAGTCTGCGATTTTGCAAAAAAAATTATTTTGAATCACTTTAAATTTGCGTTTTTGAGTAACACACAGTATATTTCCTTGCCAATGTTACTTCAGCATGTCCTTGAATTTAGTAAACTGACTTTATCAAAGGTACAATAACGTCAAAATTAACAAAAACACAACGGCAGAGCTATATGTCAACAGTAACATAATGTAAGTCATAATTTAATTTTTGCGTCATGTTCTGTCCGTGACACTTATTGTTTGCGTCACTTTAATTTCGCAATTTTTTTAAAATCGGGAATTTAGCGAAATTAATGTGTCACAAAAATTTCATGTAATGAAGTACATGTATTATGTGTTTCAACAGTGATCGTTTGAACATTGTTTTCTTGAAGGGAATATGAATTCCATCCTCTGCAAGAAAAACACATGATGACTTGTACATTTACCCATAATTCTTAGAGCACAAAAACTTTACCATAGCTCATAATGATGTACAGAAAAGTTCTAATGTCTTCAAACCTAGATTACACAATGTTGTTGGTGCAGGGACAAAGGTTACACTGTAATTATGGCTTTCCTTGTACTTTATGGGCTGTGTAAGGTTCAGATATGGTATTGTCAGTGCTAGAATGTACAGCTCTTATCATTTTTCCCACAGAGGATTAATATTTGTAAGAAAAGTTCATAATTATTTCTGGCTGATATATATGAGCTTCTTTAGCACTGTCTCTTGTTTTGGAAAGGTTCTTAATTCCGGACAACAGAGATGACTTCTTCACTTGTGCCCAACGGAGTAGAATTGTAAGAATTATTTTTAATTATGTATTATTATACAATGTATTCAGCTTTCGTGAAAACTTTATGGCAAGACTTTATAGCAAGCAAATTAATATGTCATTTGGAAGCAACTACATTCATTGAGTTTAATAAGGTGCAACATGGTTGGTCCAGGCTTTTTATTACCTGTTGTATGTTTGTCTTGCTGTTTAATTCCAATCTTTTCATTGCTGTGTGACATTTTGCTTCAGTTGGTGTTTTATGACATTGTCAGCTCCTACATTTATAGAATGGTGCTTAGATTTTTAAGGCAATATTTCAAAAAATTACTGTTTTAACTAGAATTAAATAATGTGTCTGAATCTTGTGTAGAAGATGTGTTGTGTTATTTTGATATTTGCATCATTCTGTTTTTGGAGCTAGTAAATGGCATGCAAGTTACAAATACATGTGTGCTTCATCTGGTTTAATCCTGTACTACAGCCACAACATGTACATGTATACTTTCATCCTACATTTGAGCTTCAATTTATATACAACTCATTTGCAGGTTCATAGAATTTTGATGAGAACTCAGTATGGTGAAAAAAGGAATCAGATTGGTAAGTAAATTTAAAGTTAGTTAAGGACTTGAATCTTCAGTATCTAAGAGATGTACTGAATGGCCTTGTACAGTTAGCCTGTTGTTCTCTGTCCAGATCTATCTAGCAATCTGGTTTCAAGTGCTGGCTGTGGTCATTGTGAGGCAACCTGAACAACTGCACTTGGGGGAGGGAGAAGGGGGGAGGGATAACCTGTGATGTAAATTAGTAGTGCTTCATCCAGGCATCAATCATGTGGGGAGTAAGAGTACAGACTTTGAAATCCGACACACTCTATATCAAAACAAAGGTTATGAAATGGAGAATTTGATAAAATTGTGTTCTGTTTTCAATATTGGTGATTGCTTTCCTAAATTTATTACATGTAGGTTCTATTTTATTCTTTATTGAACAGATCAAACTGGTGTGAGAACATATAATCACATGATCTAACAGGAATACATTAGCACACAGATGACCCAAACTCTCAATGTTATCCTTTTTTTTTTTNATAGGTACAATTATAGTAAGCCAGGATAATCCCTGCTTGGCTGTGAGGGTCTGAGTTTGACCCAAATGTAGCTTTACCCTCCTTCCTTTGACCTCCAGTAATGCCATGCATGTACACTTTATTTCCTGAGTCTGTTTTAACAACTGTTAATTTTGATTACTTCACCCTGCACTGTGTTGTTTAGACATTATTATTAATTCTAAGGTTTGTGAACGTACATTCCTTTGATTTAAAAACAATTAATTAAGTTAATTGCAGTGTTTTAGTCAAGAATTTCCAATATTATCTGCCTCTTGAACCTCTAACATTAGCAATGTTTCTATTATTAATCTTTTAAGGTATCGGACGTTTGATTAACAATGGAACATACACTGCAGCTTATCCTCTGCATGAGGTAGGTTGCTATGTTTTTGTCATTATAGTAACATCAGGCACAAAATTTGCTAATGAGTTAATTAATTTTATTGATACATTCTGATGCTTAAGATTACCTGTGCACAGTGTCAGGCTTAAAAGTTATTTATTTTAGTGAGGAACCAAACTCGCAAAGTTGAACATCCTCACACCTTAAAAATGAATGCTGACAAATATTTGAAAAATATTGAAAAATATTTGAGAGCCATTCCTCACTTTCACCAAGTCCAATTCTTCCCTCCGCATAGTTGCACAATTAGTTTACATAATTTATACAAGTAGATATCCTTGAAAGAGGGGGGGAAGAGAAGACAGCTGAAACAATTTAATGTGTACTTTGCTTAATAAAGCTAGAAATTTAGCTGAGAAGCTTCATTTAAAGGCTTAATAATTATGTTATCAAATTTACCTTGAAAACCTTATTTTCTATTAGGCATTTAGACCTGTAAAAGCCGAGCAAAGCTATACAGGTCGCAATTCACATTCTGTAAGTGCCTTTGGTTAATCTTTGTCCAGTATTACCGACTGGAAGAACAAAACTAGGAAATTACCTTGTATCATTATGGAGAGCTAACTGTAAACAGGTTTGCCTGAGCGTTACATTTAGAATAATTGGAGTGCTCTTTCTGGTTGATCAGTGGAATACCTAGGGCAGCAGACTTTCACTCTAGTTATCCTGAAAGTCAGTTGGATTTTGCTTATTTCTGTCAGCGATTTCATGTCATTTATCTCATTTTGATTGGTTCAGCAGTTTCGTTTCGGTCATTTTGGTTGTTTCACTTGTCTGTTGTGACCATATTGCATGTTATGCATGTTATGCATTTGTTCACTGACTCAGTATTACAATTAATCTTAGATCACTTTAATGGTTCTTGTAGGGCCCCTATGAACTGGAGCAATCAAATGACCCCCCAAGACCTGAAAATGCTCGACAGGTAATTTTTTTGATTTTCCTTGAGGTGGATTTAAGGAGGTACATGGACATGTAGTTCTGTCCTCTTGTGTCGGATGTAGGGTCAATACAGTGCACAACTTTTACATCAGTAACCTTCTGGCAGTTGTTCAGAATGCAGATAGTTTTTCAAGTCTATCTCTTTTTCATGGGCACATGCATAATCCATACATTTAGTCAAAAGATCTTAATATTTTCTGCTCTTCCTAAGACAGACACAGTTGGGATCGGCACCAACTGTCCATCTTAGAGAAGTGTTCCTTTACAGGGAATACATAAACTGACACTAGCTGATAATGCTGGGATAGTACTTAAGACAAACAGGAAGCACAGTAATTGAAATACATCAAGTCAGGTTCCTCATTACAATTTGTAAACTGAAACAAGACAAATAAAATGAGATGATACATGTAAGGTCATTTTTGTAAGTGCTTCTGAGAACTGCACTGTGCAAAATAAGTCAAACTGAAGGACGCCATGAACAAACAAAGGGGAAGGGCTCTTTTTCACTTCATATTAACTAAGGGTTGTTTTCCCCTTCCAAGAAGATCCTTTCTTAGTAAGAGGTTTCTTCATGATTTGTGTACATGTATATTTTTTCTCAACTGATTTTCCCTCCTGGTGAATCGCCATGTTTTAATTGTTTGTTTTAACGCAATTGACTCCTGAAATGCAGTCATACAATATCCAGAAGCCGTCGAGGAGTCATTATTCTAAAATCAGTTTCTGTTTAATTTGTTTATTATGTTTACTGCACAATGTTATGTAACACAAATACTTAACTTACTGGGTTGAAGTGGTTCATATGAACATGTTAATTAGTATAATTATTCTGGGATGGGGGCATTTGTTGATGAAGAACTCCCTTATGTAACTTTCTTCATTGTTTATTCAGTTGTTGTTCTTCACTTGGGTAAAAGCAAGTACAAGATGGTACAAGATGCAACCACTGGATCACATCAGGTAATTCTACTACTGTACATGTGCATGTAAGCTTTTTGCTGTTGTTCCATTCATAAGTAAGTTGTAACTGGCATTCGTTGTTCAATGTGCTGCAGAGATTACTTTGGTGAAAAGATTGGGATCTATTTTGCTTGGTTGGGTAAGTGTCTACACATTGTGTGTATACCACATACTACATGTACTGGTTGCTGGAAATAATACGATTTATATTTCAGAAAGAACAGTAAAAAGTACCAGCATTGTGATGTTAGTTAAGTTACCATAGAATTCTGAAAGTAACAGCTCTTTTTACTTTCAGATTTACATGTAGCAGGCAAAAGGGGCTGCTACTGTTGGGTAATTGTTACTTTCGGATGGTTAAAAAGCGTTAGTTAACTGTTATTTACAGTTGTTTCAGATAAAGCAGACGTGTAACATGAAGTTAAAAGTTCCGTTTATGTATGTTGCTAACTCACACATAACCAAAGTAGACTATATACTGTAAACAATAAAAGGCCCCAAAAGTTGATATTTAATGATGGCAAAAGTATAGTATTTGGTGCAATGTGAGGAACTTTAAATACAGTATTTCAATAATGTTCCGCATTCTCGTTTGGCAGGTTTCTACACTGCAATGTTGCTACCAGCAGCTCTAATGGGCCTTATTTGTGTGATTTATGGTGCAGCCAAGTTGAGCTCTTACATTCCTGTGTAAGTATTGCACGCAGACATCAGTTGTCCCTTTTATGATGTGATGAAAAAGGCTATAATAGTGAAGAAGTTCCTATTGTTGTAAATCAGCATGTATTTTAAAAGAAAAGAACTAATATAATTGGAAACTAGCAAACAGTTAGGAACTGTACCAGTAATTATGTTAAGTGTGTACAATGTACAATGTCATGTAGTTGACTATTTTTTCCCTGACTAAGGCTAACCATAAGCATCCTGGCATCATATCTTCCACTTCAGTGTAGCGAATATTGGGTCTGGTCCTTGGTCTTTGGAGCAGTTTAAAATGTTCACTTGCTCTTATAGTTTACAGTCACTTACAAGTGGAAATTTATAGTGTTAGCACCAACACCAAACATACTTTTCTCCACTATTCGTGCTTAAAACCAAAAGCAATCGTGTCTTGGCTCTTCCCATTTTTGACACCAGTTTCATGGAGTAGATTGTTGCACTCTGCTGGGCCTCATTTCTGTGGCTTTGGTTTTATGAAGTCCTTTCATTATTTATCTCTTTTTATATTAGGAGAGACATCTGTGATAAGTCACAGAATTTTCCAATGTGTCCTCGCTGTGATAGAGGTTGCCCATACTGGCACCTCTACGATACCTGTATTTACTCCAAGGTAGGTTACAGTAAGTTTTATTCAGTACAGTTCAATTAGACTACCTTTCATTGTTACAAGTAACCCTGCATAAATAAAGTTTTTACCTTACCTTACCTACCTTACCTTACCTAAAGTCAGAGAAAGGGTCGCCTGAGTGAATGACACCTGTAAAAAATACTGCTAGCGTTTTGGCGTTCTGGTGCCTGTAGAAAGGAAGGCATTCTGACAAAATTGGAATATTTAACTTCTATACCAGTGCAGGTAGCTTGGAAGTGAAGAAGTTTGCTTCACTTTTCATGCCTACAAAGCCAGACTCCAGAAACTCTTCCTCTTTTCTTTTCCAGGCTACAAACTATTTTGCTATATTTTTGTGTTGGCACATACAATTACCGTAAGAATAGACAGTAGGTATGTTCTTGAGACTCTGAGGTTGATGCCTCTTTTTTCTTTTTGTTTAGGTGGCTTACGTCTTCGATAATGAATTCACTGTTGTTTTTGCTATCTTTATGTCAATTTGGGGTAAGTTCTTTAAATTAGCCCCCACCAAGCAGACAAGGATAATAAAATGATCATCCTTTTTTTTTGTACTTGATTTTACCTTTTTGGTACGCTTCAGAGGCCTGTCAGGCAAGTTTGGTTGAGCCATGGTTCGCATTTGGGAGAAACCAAACAAGCCTGTTATGCCACCAAAACTTACCAAAAAGGTCCGATTCAGTATTTACCGTAGCTAAATTCGACCTCGTGACCATGATATCGTAGCCATATCAGATCGTTGACTCGATACCGCAAGATATCAGGGTAGTAGATACGGCTTGTAATTGGCTAATTGCGTATTTGGCTACGGTAAATAGCTGATAGCAAGTTAGGTAGGGTAAATCAGCTAACTATCTGTAGGTGCTTGTTTTACTGAGTGACAGGATTGGACAGAAACAGTTACAGCCCTTGATTATGGCATTCATTGTTTGTTCACAGAGAGGTAGAGGGGGAGGCTGGAAGGGAAGAAGCTAAGGGTGGGACCTTCATGTACAGCTAGAAAAAAAGAGCGTAAAGAATAACTAAGGGAAATGGCTTCCTGTGTTACTGCTAGAGATCCACACAAGCAATATTTCCAACTCCTAAGTACAGAAATAGGGAATTTGGATGGTTCCCAGTGGGGTCCGGTATCTGATAAGCCTAAGCCATGTTGATAGATCCTAAGAAGTTCATATCAAACTCCCCAAGAATATTCCCATCCTGAGTTAGTGTCTTATTGTGAAGCCACACCCTCAGGGGAATAACATGTTTAAAAGTGCTAGGTCTTTGTGTGAAGTAAGGACAAATTTCAAACTATCTGCGTGTACTTTCTGTGTTTAGCCACCATGTTCCTTGAGTTTTGGAAGAGACGTCAGGCAGAGATTGCTTATGAATGGGACTTGCTGGGATATGAGGACGAGGAGGTAGGATTTTATTTTACATAAAATACCACGTAATACCACAAAGTATCCTTGGTGGGGCTACAGATATCTAGTGACATCCCAGACGTGTGCAGAAATTTAATTCAATTCAAGGAAAAAGTGTGATCTCTTTTGAAAATGAAAATGAAAGTACAAGCCCTTCACAGGTTTCATAGATTAATGTGTAATGAGGTTTATTTTTAAAAAATCAGTTAAACCATAATCTATTGTCTGATAAGTGAAAAACATCTACATTACCCTTAGGAGCAACCTCGTCCCGAATACGAGGCCTTGGCACTAGAAACTCGCTTGAATCCCATCACTAAAGTGGAGGAGCCGTTCATCTCGATTGGCAAGAAAGTGCCAAGATTTGTGTGTGGTATAAGTTTCATCGTTTTCATGGTAGGTTTTTAATTAAATAACTTTACATGCTTCAGTGCTAACTTACACGAGGAAGCCAGTTAAGAAGAAAACAAATAGGGCTGCTCATGAAGGGACTGATCAATTTGCTGGGTTTCTCACCTGCANAAGGTGACAATCTTTAGTACGTTGAGACAGACATTACCGTGTTTTCACCTAACGTTAAGAGAAAACAATAGCTCATTAGCGTAATTCTTTTGAACAGAGGTATCGCGCCCAATTTTCCTCGAAAATTTGATTATAGAACTAGGGACCGTATGTACCTTTTTCTAATCGTATTTTCACAATCCTCCCCTTGCAGATATAAATTCAGTCTCTTACGAACCTTTTGCGTACAACTCAGAGGGCGCACTACAGTATACATGTGATAAAGTGACAGTTAGATTCCCCCACAAATGCCACGAAGAAATAGAATCCCATTTGAACAAAGCGAAAGGATAACCAGGGCCTAAATGTGGACAATGGTATCGTTTCATGCAAACATATTTGCCACGATGCCTCAATAGTCAGGCAATTGCATGAGGGATAAATTGTTCAGCAAATTTGATATTCTCTCTTCCAAAAATAAATGTTGTTATGGCTGTACTGTTTGTCTCACCGCGCTTAAGATTGTCACGTTCATAGATATGGTTGTATAATATGCAATTGATTGTGAGTGCTCATGCAAATTCTGTTATTGAAAGTCTTTTGTTAAAAAAGGATTGTCCAGAAGTGTACATGATTGTCGTTTCGTGACAACAAATTTGTTTTCGACAAAAATGAAAATACATTTACAGCCAATGAATGTCAAAAGAAGGTATTGTTTATCTTTTGATGATTTTGAATGTTAATACATATGCAAGTGTTATTCTTGAACGTTCCTTACGCGTAAATGAAGATCATATTGGTGTTAATGAGAGTATATTGACCTTAATGAAACAAATTTGGACTCAAATGAATGGATATTTTCTGTAAATGAACAGCAAAAGGTGTAGTATAGTATTAAAACTTGACGAGAATGAAATATCTTATCAAAAACGAACACGATAAAGAATGTACTAGTAAATTCCCAACACTGTCATAAAAGGATTGTAAGATAATCAGTAGGGAGAGTTGATATCGGTGGACACCAACAACGCTCTCTTAGAAAAGCGATCAACAGGGTTATGGGATCAATAAGGATGATGATGATGATTCAAACTGTATGCGCACTAGAATGGATTTGGTGGAGTAATGGCACACCAAACAACTCTCTCTTAGATAAGCGATCAATAGGGTTATAGGATCAATAGGGTTATAGGATCAATAGATTTCAGTATACAAAGTATAACTCTCGAGCAATGGGTAATTGACACACAAAGTTAGCCGTTATTTCGCTTTTTTAGAACTTTTTCTTTAACGTAAGTGGGAAAATGAAAAGCAGTTTAAAGCTCGCCATGACAAAAAAATATATTTATATACATCGGTGTCACCAACAGTAACTGTTATTCACTGGCATTGCTTCAAATAAACAAATTTTAAGTCGAAGCATTGCATCATGATATTTTCTTTCATGATCAACAACTTGAAACAATGTTTTACAAGCACCATTTTACAATATACCGGAGGGCAGCCTTAGTAACTCTGGCTTGAATATCTATTCAATGATTGTTTTATTCTTAACACTGATTGGTTGACGAAATTGTCATCTTGTGATGATATATGATGTCTGACATTCCTTTATCTGATATCACAACATATTTGCCCATTCTTCATGTTTTTATATTATGGTATTTCACATCCGCATCGAATTAATCGTATGCACTTTTGTCTCACATTGCCACTCTATTTTGGAAAGAAACTGTTCTCCCGTCGAAAGCACGTTTGTTCGTGCACGTAGAGACTTTTGGAAAAGGAAAGACCTGCCGTGCAGTAATTTGCCATGCAATAATTTTCGTATTCTTTGAACGTGCCGCCGTACCCCGAAGCGTAAAGCCAATTTAGACGTGTTTATTCTTGAAATTTTGTTGTCAAACAATAGTTTGATATTGGCGACGGATTCACGAATCGCACATTAAGTCGCAAAAAGATTTTTTAATTGTTCATAAAGGGATATTTGGATAGGCGTTTGACTCCTCAGTTGTTTGAGACAAACCTCACTGTATTAAAGGTGCCATAAACTTTAAAAAACACTCAATCATAGCTTCCCTTTCCCTGAAAGACAAAACCCAAAAGATTTCTCTATACACCATCGTTAGAAACGTTAATTAAACGTGGAAAACAAAGGCTGTTTTAGATTCTTTTTATTGCTGTCTATTATAAGAGAAAAGAACAACTAGACGTGGCACTGAGAGTGAAATAACACTCGATATCCCACTGCGAGGTTATTAAACGGGGCAACTTTTGAACAAGCCGATACGAACGCCAACACAGTACAATGCAAAAGGAAAAACAAAGTAGTACGTCTGTTTCTAGCTCTAGTGCTTAGGAATTACACACGGACATTACATGAATTTATTCGTGTTTTCATTTGCTTAAGTAAAATGTTCCGGGTGTTATCATAATCAAGAATAAACGGATAATTCGGTGTACTAATAGAGTGATAATGCTGCCGCTTAATTGTTTTATAATAACTATCGGCGTGAACTTCATTGTCCATTCCTAAACATGGCAATGGGCATGGAAATTCGAAACTCTCACAAATATATTCGACTTGGAAAATATCCTCAGATTTTACTTAATACGTTTCGAAAATGTTTGGCAGCCACAGACAAAAAACAGTCGCCACAATTTGTTCAGATAATAAGACGTTGATCAAAACACTGGCACCGGTTAGGTTTAATTAATCAATTAGCCAATGAAATCCTTTAAAAGCTAATAACAGGTTCCGCTGTGTGATATCGATCAGCATTTAAGTCGTTTACCGGAGGCTGCCAGTCTTTAGTTATTCTTAGTGACTTATTAGTTTTAGGAAACCAACAAGTCGGACAGGAGAGTAAGATACCTTGAAAGCTATATAATGGAACCACGATCCAACGCATGTGGCGCGTCATCAAGTTTCTCAATCGATAACATTCTTAGCGACAAGAGAGAGGAAGAGCCAACTAATTTTCAATTTGAGCCTCCGACCAACCCGACTGAGTATGTTCGGCCGGCATTTCAGATGTTTCCTCCATTTCTTTGTGGCTCTTTGAACACATGGCCACATTATCAGCCCCATAATTGCCCACCCTTTGATAGATCACGGAAAACAACCGGTAAGTGGTCTGAAAATAACTACGTTCGACGTCACGAAGTAGATAAGCACCGATATTTACTTAATTTGATAGGTTTACTAAAGCGAGCCCTTGCAGGCTAGGTAAGAACCCATTAAGGTTTGATAATTAGTCTTGGAAAACACTCAGCCAGTAAGTGAATAGATTGGAGAGAAAAGTGAGTACACTTTCTATAGATTAGTGACCACGTTCTGATATGAAACTGAAGGTTTTGCGTTGAATGGCTTCCATAAACGTACTACGGAATAAAATCAAGCGTACAATGGAAACCTTAATTAAACTAATGCGCTTGTTTTACAGGCGAGTTTAATGGTTTCAGTTGATGTTTTTAATTTTGAGGTTAAGAGATCACAGCACGTACTTGCTGTATTTGAAGAAAGTAAAATAAGCTTCATAAAAGAAGTGGAAAAGGGGGCGAAGACAATTCAATGGTGGTCAAATTTATTTAGCTTACGAAATCTTTTGAATTGTTCAGAATGTACTCCTTCATGAAACTTTCAACCCGCAGAAGCTCCGTGACTATCTCGTATTATCTTGCGATAATATGCACCATGAAAAATGTTTCTCAATTTTGGTACGTGATCAGAATACTCAAAAACTTCCCCACTGTGGAGACCCCGGAAAAAATATCATTCTTTAGGTAATTCTTGGAGTCTTTAAATTCTTAGAGAGATGGAATTTTCCAAAAAGTTCGTCAAACATGGTTTAGAGTATTGCCTGATCGTGTTTTTTTTTTTTTTTTTGGTTTACCATAAAGTTTAGAGGCACAATGCAAGTCGCTTTTTTTTCTTGTAGCAATGCTCCCAGAATTGAGCAAAATTCGGACGTGTTTCGAAAATCTCAGAGAAGCAGTTTTGCAAATAGATTAAAACTACAGAATAATCGAACTACTACTAAGGTTGTTCATTAAGAGTAGTCCCTCTTATCAATAGCTGTATACTTCGTATCAATGATCATTTTTATGTTTAAGTGATAAGATTTCTTGTAATTTCTTAATAGCTCTTTAGGTAAATTGTCGTTTTCATTTATTTTTGATAAATTATGAGCAAATTAAGTTTAACAGTTTTTGAACTAACTTTCTCGGAAGAGACTGTACGAAAACTGAGAACCATTGACGCAATGGAAACAGGTGCCTGACTTGCTTATGGCTCCCAGTTTCACTAACCTAAGGATTTTAAAGTGTTTAAATATAATTTAACTAGGCTTGCTAGGTTGTTTTGAAAATAAAAGTTAAAAAATCTAGGAGTTTGCTTTTGATTTTATCTCTGCGCTATATTTCAAGTGTTCTTAAAGTTAAATAGGTTTGATCATGTTTTCAACTGTTTTATACCAACTTATGCAAAATCAACCTTTTCATAAAGTTGATTTTTCGCCAAGTAAAAATATATAACTATTTTGCGTAAAAAAAAGCTGTATACTAAACGTTCATGATCTTTTAGATCGTCATCAGAGTTTAATGGTGATTTCAGTGATCGAAAAAGTTTAATTTACAAACTTTTAATCGCTGTTATCTAACACTTTTATACAACCTTTACTGTTCGCGAGCCAAAGGCAAACAGTTGGGCCAACGAATTTCACTTACCAAAAATTGCTCAAATTCTCCTCTAATTGAAAGTTAGATTGACACTGAATATTTGTAGTGTTTATTGAGTTTCATAAAGCATTTTAGAAATTTAATTAAAATGCTCAATGATGTGTGATATGAGCGAAGATAAAGAGTCGTTAAGGTCAAAACTGGTAACCAATGCAAAAATCTCTTTGATATGATCTGATGACACTAACTTTTTCAAATAAAAATCTCCAAAAAAAGTCATTCTATCAATATGTTCTTTACATGATCGATGCTTACACATAGGACTGGTCAGGCGTCCTGGTAGGCTGGATGCCATGTGGGACTTGTCTTTCTCAGTGTTTGCGAAGATGCTCTGCATATTCTTTCACAAGACGGTTTGATACCAAGTCCTCAGAGTTTTGAAAATTTATTTGGCTCAAATATAAGGCCAAGTTGATTTATTTCGCTTATTTTAAAAACTGTGCCAAACTGTTCCCAAAGTAACTTGTCAAACGAGTCAATTTGGCCAAATTCTGAAGCCAATGAATTTTTCAGTTACATCGGACCGCTTAGTTGTAAGCCTAGGTGGTGCTGAACTCGGAAGGTTGGTCAAAGAAGTTGGATGTAATTAGTGTCGCTTTCATTGAAAACCACGTTTTTTTCAGAAGAGTAAAGCCTTTTCGACCAAGCATGTTCTAATAAGACTATTTTAGGCAGGATTTGAACATTTCTGGATAAAACGTCACCAAATAAAACGTCGAACAGCTCAATCTCTGTCAATTTTCAGCGACACTGGTAACTAACATTACTAGAAAGTAGACCCTTTTAAAAATAATATTTATGAGCTTATTTGCTATTTGATAAATTATATCATTCTTCCAGTACTACAGCAGGAGGGCAACACGCGAGAGAGACGAAGAGGTCGAGATTCATCCAAGAAGAGGAAACGGACCGCGTTCACGACAACGCAAGTCAAGGAACTCGAGAACGAATTTCGGAGAAGCAAATACTTGACCATCTCTCGTCGAACAGAGCTTTCAAAATCTCTCAAGCTAACTGAAACTCAAATAAAGATCTGGTTTCAAAATCGCCGTACCAAATGGAAGAGAAAGATCGCGGCCGAAATGGAATTCAGCATGCGCACATCCGGGAACATGTACGGTTCCCATCATCCGGGAATTCATCACTGCAATCAACACTGTCACCCTGGAAATGGCATGCCGTATAACTGTTGTCAATCAAGTTTTTCACCGGTATTTTGTCAACCTCAGCTGTCTTACCCGCCAACGCACGGAAACCATACAGGCTTTTTGACCCGTACACACAGCTAGCGAATTAGCGGCTGATCGAGGATACACTGGAAGAAATATCACCTCTTATAATTCATCAAATATTTTCGCTCGCGCGCGATTGGTCTAGATACGTCACGTGACCGAATATTCCCCAGCTAAGACTGTGGAATATCTGAGAATATTCCCCAATTTTCAAAACTGTGTGTGTTGCGAAAAATATTTAAAGGTCAATAAACACAAAAACGCCATTTGGCGTAAAAATATGCACAGATATTTGTTCGTGGACATTATCTGTTCCTTGAAACTCACAGTTTTCCTCGAGCTACACGCTCGGAACACTGTTCGCTTCTTAGCCTGCGTAACAAGCGTTTCTGTGGGGTCTGAGAGGAAACAAAGACCGAGGAACGGGATTTTCGGTGTTTTGCCTGCGCGGAAAATGGGGCGAGAGCTGTAGTTCTTTGCTCCCAAACCCCACAAAAACGCTTTCTTCGCAGGCTAGAAAATTTATGACAGCCGATGGCAGCATGACATCTCAGTGTGCGTGTGGGCGGTTTTCAAAATCCACGGGTTTGTCTGCAAGCGTTTCCTTCCTTCCTTCCTTCCCCTCCCCCTCCCCCCACATTTACTTGCTCTATTTTTCGCGATGTAGTTCTTTGCTCCCGAACCTCACAGAAACGCTTGCTACGCAGGCTACTCGCTTCTCGGAACAGATAATGTCCCCGGACAAATATCCGTGCATATTTTCGCGCAAAATGGAGGCTAGACAAGTGTTTATACATTCAGTAATGGTTTTCACGATTATAAGAAATCCAAATTAAGCATTGTTAGAAGGCTTGATAATTATTTTAAGTGTTTGAGATAAAAGGCTGTTAACGTTATGATTACAAAACGCTTGAAACGGCTATGACATCTGGAAAATGTAAAATTACAACAAACAAAACAAACAGTTCATTCTGGGACTGTTCTATATCCGGGAACTTGTAATGACCGGCTAATCTCCCACATGTAACGTTTCGTCGGTCATACTTGCAACATTTCGTTGAGAGAAATGATTTCAGTGCAAGACGCTTTATTAAAAATTCCTTATACATATTTTTACAAAAACTAATGAAGCAAAAATTGTTAACAGAGGCTATCTGTGACAGATATTTTGCACAGTAATAAATATCTCTTAAGAGTTACTGATTTTTGTAACATTTTATAAACCCTCTGAGGAAAATATAATTGCTTTTTCCTAGATCTTTTTCTTGTCATGAATTAATCTATCATTTACCTCACTTCATCTTGTTACTAAACCATAACAAAATTGAAAAAAAGGACAGGCGAGAGAGTAAACCAAAACTTACAAAATGTAAAAGTTTTGTATCTATTGAAAATTACAGTATTGGCTTCCAGCAGTAAACGCTAATTTATATACTTCACTGTTATATGACGAGGACATACAATGCCAGATAACAGTTGCTGAAGTATATATGTTACAACACAAACGTCATCTGCACACACTCTCGCTGTATTAGTTTTCTATAAAATGTCTATGATACAACGTGCGCTCTCATTGTTCGGAAGGTGTGTTTAGAAATGTGAGAATGTAAACACGGTTGTGAAGTTTTAGATTGGCGCGTATTCTTGAGAAATATTTTATAAAAACAATAGAGTACTTTTTCTGTGTCACATATAAACACTTGGGGGGAGGAGGGTGGGGGAAAGAATTCTGGAAAGTTATGCCAACCCTCGACTGCGTCTCGGGTTTGCCTAACTGTCTCAAATTCTGCGAACCCCTCGTATTTAGACAAAGCTATGTAAACTAGGAAACAGTGTAGTATTGCTTATTGATTTAGTGATTGTTTGGCTGCTATCGGCGCAAATTCGATCTCTCAGCGGTTATGTAAATCGATCTATGTTTTGGTATTTATTCTTTTTACAGAATGTTCCATCGTTCTTTGGGCACATGGAATGATGGTTAATTACGCGAAAAATATTATGGCATATTTGCCCTAGTCATATTTTTAATCTATGAAGTTTTTGTATACTGTTAAATGGCTTCCTCCATCGAAAGATATTTTATGCTTTAAGAAGAAATTAACTGAAAATTGCTTCAATGCATCGTTCCTCTCTCTCATGGCTCAACATAATTCGATAGCAAGTCACGATCAAATGTTGACGAGTAAGATAGATTTCGAGAAGTCAGTCGATATCGAGTAACTCCTTAAAAGTCAGTTATGGGAATATTGAAACTGATCAGTAAGGTGTAATTATTTCGAGTGGTTATCAATTCTTTTTTTTAGTAATATTAGTGCTATATGGAATGAAAGAAGACCGCAAGCATTTTGACTATTTCTTCTCTGGGTTGTCATATGACGTTAAAAAAATTCTTATGAGAATATTAGATAGGCTTTCTGCAACTATTTTCAAGGTCGCTCCTCGTTATTTTTCCGGCCTAAAGCTATGCCAAAGGCTTCATTTTAGTATTTTGATTTTGTATTTTGTTCTAGAGAGAGACTGAGGTTTGCGATACCCACTGACGTTGTACGCTGCAGTAAACTCAAACATAGGTCTTAAACAACTGGTCGATTTTAACTGTCCTTGAGAACAATATAATAGTAGTATGATAGAGGTAGTTACGTTTCTTTGCCAGAGTAACCTTGCCGTTAGCTTTTTCTCTTGCCCTTCCTCAGACCAAAAAGCCAGTAGGGTGACAACTGATTAATACTCAGTTTTCGAAAAGAGCAGGAAGCTAGCCCGCGGTCTTGTTTGGTTTTGTTTTTCGATGGCTGGATGAGTTAAGTAATAAGTTTGTTCTCTCACTGCCGAAATGGTTAATATAATAGCCCAGTATAAACGGAAATGCAATATTTTTTAAACTCTTTTTTGCTTCCATTTTATTTTGTGTGAACCTTTTTATGAAATGCTCAGTTAAATTATTGAAAATATTAACATATCTGATTGAAAAAAATAACTTCCTCTAGCTACCGTAAGTTTCAAAGTAAGCCCTGGGTAAATTTTTGTTCAGAAGCTTTCTTGGCTGCTATATTTTTGTTATAGGTATTTACTAGCAGAAATAATTTTGCTTTTCAGAAAAAGTCGGGCATGCATAAAAAAATATACAATTCTAAAAAAGTATAGGTACAATTAAGGACAATGTCTAAAAAGCTTTCTACTATGTGATAAACGGAAATGGTTTTGTTCATAAACAGCTACCACAAAATTCAAGCCAATATATTCTATTTCGGAGGGCTTGTTCAGTCGGAAATTTTGGCGTCTACGATTTGGGGCCCTGTTATCAGTTCAAGTGAGCTTTTTATCGTAGTTACGGTAGGAAAAAAGCTGCCAGCTTTAGTTCGTTTCGTCGATATTAACTTAAAGATTTTTATCCAATATAACGGTGTAATCATCAAAACGAGGACAAATTAACAGCAAAAACAAAAAGAACTGACAACTGACAAGTTTCTGAATTTAATACTCTGAACTCACGCTGGGATTGTTTGTTTCGTTTTTTTTTTTTTTTTTAAATCATTTCCAGTTTTAAGAATTGTCTAATAAGTGAAAAACATCTACGTTACCCTCAGGAGCAACCTCGTCCCGAGTACGAGGCCTTGGCATTAGAAACTCGCTTGAATCCCATCACTAAAGTGGAAGAGCCGTTCATCTCGATTGGCAAGAAAGTGCCAAGATTTGTGTGTGGTATAAGTTTCATCGTTTTCATGGTAGGTTTTTAATTAAATAACTTTACATGCTTCAGTGCTAACTTACACGAGGAAGCCAGTTAAGAAGAAAACAAATAGGGCTGCTCATGAAGGGACTGATCAATTTGCTGGGTTTCTCACCTGCATGTAAATGGTGTACATTGTACATTGTACATTATCAGTCTCGAAGTTCCTCAAATTCATCTAGTGATATAAAAGTTCTATGTCAGACAACGAGAACAACAACAACAACAACAGCAACAACAACAAAAATCACCTTTATATTTGTACTCATAGTTACATTATAAGTTACAAGGAATAATTTAATTAGGGTGCTGGCTGTCTGGAATAATCGTAAGGACTAGTGGAGCCAGGCAGCCAAACCAAATCGTCCGACTGACTGTCCTGTGCATTGTAAGCAACACTTTGTACAATAATGTAATATATTTATACTACAAATAGTTTGCAAAGGAAGGACACCTTTAAATTAATTTCCCCGTTATCTAAATTTCAGCTGTCTTTATTTAAGTAAACAAACTACTGCATAACCAATTAAATCCTACAGGCATCAGGCATTTTTAGAGATGACCTGTTTTTATTTCTCTTTAGTTAGCGCTTGTTCTCATCGCAGTGTTTGCTGTGGTGGTATATCGCGCTGCAGTGTATGCCGTGTTAGCTGGGCAAAACGATTATAACATGGGAGCTGTCAGCATCGCAACCTCTGGTACAGCCGCTCTCATCAACCTTATTATCATCATGCTTCTTAACAAGGTACTTGAACTTCCTTGGGTCTGCCCTTTTGTAATGAAATAAAAATAAGGCAATATTTGTTGCATGCATATTTCCTTTGGATGTGCCAGCCTATCAGCATACAGCAGTGAACAACAAAACACAGGTATTTCACTGCTTTTTCCGTGCAGGGGGTATGTGGAATTGCATATCAGTCAATGTTACTTGGGTGCGAGGAGTGTCTCTAGCGCCCAGGTTCAACAGCTGACTCTGAATTTTGATGACAGCTATGGCTTTGATTAATTACCATTATTTTCTTTGGGTACATGCACACGCATTCCAGTTTTTGCATATTATGAAATCGTTGATTGTAATTGAGGAATCTCAAATAAGTAAGTTCTTTTGCCTAATTTGTTAATTGCAGGTTTACGAGAAATTAGCGGAGATACTGACAAGATGGGGTACGGAAAGTTTTTTTTTGTCAAGTGGTAGTAAACGTTTAATGGTTGACTGAACCAAATTGATTACCCTGTCTCAGTCCCCGTCCACATTACGCCGGTGAAATTTAAAAGCGCAGCTTCATTTCTACGGTTAGGCCTACCGTCCACACTAATCCGTCACGAAAACGAAGCTTTATTTCTACGGTTAGGCCTACCGTTAGTCCACACTAATCCATCATGAAAACGGAGCTATTCGAAAACGCTCTTCAAACCGGAGGAATTTGAAAACGCCGGCTTTTCGTTTTCGTGTGGACGCAAAACATTTTGAAAACGGAGCTTTTCGAAAACGATGGCATCGCGATAATCATGTGACTCCCCTGACCAAGTTTTCCTCAAACACAAATCCAAAATGACCGGTGATTGTTGCGTTTTTAAATTCGTCTGGCGTAGTGTGGTCGGAAAACATTTCAGTGATGCGGAGTGAAACTTCCTTTTTCAAATTCCTCTGGCGTAATGTGGAAGNCCACTTTGATTCTTGTTTCGTTTTTGTTTGTTTTTTAAATTATTTTTTGTCTTTTCAGAGATGCCTCGCACGCAGACCGAGCTGGAAGACATTTTCTCGTTCAAGATGTATCTCTTCCAGTTCATGAACTATTACTCGTCACTTTTTTACATCGCATTTTTCAAACTCAAGTAAGTATATATCATGAGACGAAGATAGAAGATGAGGGAAAGATTACATACTCTGAAATCGGCCAGCTCGGCACCAGACTGGCCATAAAACGGCCCCTGAGTTAATATGACCCTGTAGGAACTTAACCTAAAATGATTATTGACTATTTGTAAGCTTTTGTTCATACAATACAATATATATTTTTAATTCCGCCCAACGTGGCTTTTCAGAATTAGTTTAGAGTCTATTTAACGACGTATTACATTGCCTGTAAGGAGTTAGGAAGGGTCGAATGTATTTCGTGTATTATTTTGCTTAAGTGTCATTTGGAAATAGAAGAATATGGGAATATGAGAAGGGAATACTGTTCATCAAGCAAAACCCCATAACAAATACACACATTTCTTGCTGTCGCATATTATACCCTTTTGTGCTAGTACTGACCAGTATGGAATTTCTCTAATACCGTAAATCCTCGAATTGGCGCCCCCCGCTCCCTCGAATAAGCGTCCCCCTTCCCTCCCCCTATTTTTTGGACGAGTACTGAGACGACAAAGGATGTATAGTTTTCGTCGTGTAGTATTAGTCTAATATGTAAGTACTTATTTTGGTTTTGGTTTTGAGATATTCAATTGAAAACCGCTCTATACAATGAAATTCTAATAGCTACTGCTACAACAAATGTATGAAGATATATGTGAGAGTTTATTTGTTGACATCAGAACTCAATATTACAAAAGCTCGTCCCATATATAGTTCACTTTCTGTAATATAAAGCTGTACAACTAATGAGCATTACCCTGTTTAGTCCTGGCAGACCAGCCAAATTTAACAGGATTTTTGGGAGATACCGTCAGGAGGAGGTAAGCAAATATGGATTCGAAGTTCTAAATGTTGACGCGTAAAATTGTTAGTGTGGGCCTCAGTTATTAAACCGTTGCTACACATACCAATAGCAGACACTCTTAGTTAAATTATTACACCATATTCATAGTGTGTTATTTTATGTTGTGTTTCTGTTCGCTTCTTTCAGTGTAATCCGGCAGGTTGTTTATTTGAGCTCTTGGTGCAGCTGGCAGTCATTATGGTCGGAAAACAGATCTTTAACAACTTCATTGAAGTAATTGTGCCGTAAGTACATGTAGCTCTTAAAGAGAATGGTGAAACATGTGAAGTGTAACTTTTGACGGGCTAGAGAAAGCTGGAGAATAAAATTGATCTTCTACATGACACGCTAAAGCTGTTTCAACCCCATGTTTCTTCGTTTTCCTCGTTGAGAAAGCTACCAAAATATTCCAGCACTTTTCAAACAGCTATATATACTTTGACGGGTTAATACTACCGCCGTTTATCAAGTGATGCTACAATATTGGTATCCCCTCAACCCCTTCCCCCCCCCTGCATCCGGAAAGTGTGATAGTGCAGGTAGGTTACCCCCAACANAACTTCCATTAAAGTAGGTGTTCAGCCTGAAGGAGCTCATAATCGTCATTTAGAAACTGTAATTAATTACATTCGTCAATTTTTTTGGAAAAAAAAAAACAAGAACAACAAAGTTTTGGCAATAGCAGTTGCTAAATTCTCCACACAATGGCTTTTTGCCTCTCGTTTTCCTGAAATTTTATTGTTTACTTTAAACTAATATTGAAATCTGATTGGTTGTTTTGTTTTACTGTCCCATTCTCAATGGCTGAGAAAAAGATGCGATTTAGAGCAAAAAATAGTGCGATTCGTGAATAAATCGCACCACTGAGAGTCAATCAGATTGCAAGGATAACCAGTGATTTCAAAATGGATTTAATAAATGCTAAAACCGGGCTGCTGATAGCCAATCACGTTCGAGAATTTTATTATAGTTTTGATTAGACTTATAATATGTCATTTGCAGGAAGCTCCAGAACTGGTGGAGGCGTCGGCAGAACATTGAAACACCAGACTTGGCCGAATACACGCGCTGGGAACTAGACTATGATTTGAATCAGTATCCCGCGCATGGCTTGTTTTATGAATACCTTGAAATGGGTGAGAAGTTCACACAATAGAGAACAACACGATTCGTTTCTGTATCCAAATTCAAAATTAGCCAATCGGAAGCCGTGTCGTCTATTGTCCTCGTATCCTGCTTTATCAAGTCATGGACCTGATATGGCCACAGTTATGGCCGAATTTGGGCACGGTAGATACCTAATCATACCTTCTTTTGGTACGCTTCGGCGGCATATAAGGTAGCCTGCGAGCAGGCTCTCCTTTGAGTCACGCGCGGGAGCGGCGAAGAGCAAAGCGATCCGGCGGAAAGGCGCCACTTATTTCGCGCTCGCGGCTACGCCGCGCGCGCTTGTGTTCCAACGTGAGCCTGCTCGCAGGCTACACATAAGACTCCCTTGGTCTCTCCATAGGTATTTTGACACGGCCAAACTCGCCTGATATGCCGCCGAAGCGTACCGAAAATGTATGATTGGGTGTAAGTAGGGTACGCTACAGTTCAGTAATACAACAATTAATAGACACTTGCCTAACTTGGCTTTTCATTAACAGTTAGTAATGAATAAAATAACAAAAGTAATTGGAAGGAAACCTACATCCAAGCCTAACGGCCCATCATGCTACAACATATCTTGGGTGTTTGTAGCGTGAACCGACTAGGCGTATTTCTTCTCCCCCCTGGATGAGTTTGCGCTCCAACGTGAGCCTGCTCGCAGGCTTCATATAAGGCTCCATTGGTCTCTCCATAGGTATTTTAGGTTACCCTCAGGCATTAAATTTATACGCCTGGGCGGAGCGAGGTACCGTGAGAGTAGTGTCTTGCCCAAGTACACAACTAAATGACCCCAGCTAAGGCTCGAACCTTGACCATTTGATGCAGACTCCAGTGTTCTATCCGTTAAGCCACCTCGCGGATTAATTACGGATTTAAAACCTGTGTCATTCCTTTTTTCAGTGATCCAGTATGGGTTTATAACGTTGTTTGTTGCTGCCTTTCCTCTTGGTCCATTCTTCGCTCTTATCAACAACTTGTTGGAAATTCGTCTTGATGCTTACAAGTTTATTGTTGTTTTCCAACGACCAATGGCGGCCCGTGCTCAGGATATAGGTATGCAAACGTGATTCACAACAGTAGCATTATCATGACACGATTTCTATAAAGCAAACATATCAGTTCGTGTTGGTGTTGTCTGACTAACAATAGACCGATCGAAACTTACTGTGCTAGAACCGACTAATGAATGTTGACAAACTTTGCACGAGTCTTTCACCCAATACCATCATGGCTAAACTGACCAATCACTGTCAAAGGACCAGACTTTTAACACCATCGCCCTACAAACACTATTCACTTGACCCTGAAGATGACTTCCGCTCAGGATGTCGAAACGTCAGTCACCAACAACAGTTCTTTTCAGAACTACCCTCACCCGAACGATCACACAATCTTACGAATTATTTCTTCGCCTTGACAATACAACTTGTTGCCTCTTTTTTTTTTTGTTTGTTTTTACAGGAATCTGGTACACGATTCTTAAAGCTGTCACCAAGATCTCTGTGGTTGTGAATGTAAGAAATGTAACTCGAGTAACTGATCCATGTCTTCTCATGGTAACTCTTTTCGACAAAGGTTTTGAGCGAAAAATAACATATGAAAAAAGTGATATTGGTCATGATTTGTATCGATATGGCTTGAACATCATGGACCTAACTTGACTGTTTAGTCAATAGCGCGGATTTAAACTGAGTGCCGAAAAAACAAAATCAAAGCAATTACTTGGCCAGTCAAAAGAAACGCAGA